ATCATTTGTATAGCTTGGTTTCCTGTTCAACTGTCTGATATGCAAAGATTGAGAATGAGTTGACCAACCAAGTTGATTTCCTATTGTCCAGATGAGTATGACAAACAATATTTTCTCCTTTGGTTATGGAGCAGCAAGTTTGGAGGTTCCATTGCAAGTTGCATTACAATAAGATTGTTGTGGGGAGATTCTGATACTAGGCTGCATAAAGGAGATAGATGCAAAGAAGATGCCTATTCTTTCAAGGTTCCGATGACTTGGCTTGAAATTTTAGCTATGATCAGATTGTGAGAAGGCATATTGATCTTGTTGGAAGACGAGGACATTTGGACCTTAGTCATCTGTCATCCTCTGTATATTATATTTATTTTGATTGTGTACATAGTTTCAATGTTCAAGGTAAAAATGGCTTGGCTCTCGCTTGTTTGCTATTTGATCCCTCATTTAATTTCGATGAGCACTGAAATGCCAGTTTAATCTTAATCTATGTTTTTGGTTTCAACACCATGAAAATTCTTCATTGCATCTCATATATGGTAAAAGCAAACATTTCTGCGTTTGCAAAATTAATCTCTGTACATTTGTTGATGTAAGTTGCTGATCTTCGGGCTGCCGCCAAATTTGCTTCTCTGAAAATATATAACTGTGGAATAACTCAAGATTAAATAGGATTTATGATTTTTTTCCTTTCACATTTCTCGTTAAAGCAATGTTTTAAAACCTGCCGGTTCGGCCAGTTTAACCGGTTCAACCGGGACCTAGAAGCTTAAACGGGCCAAGTTTATATTTTTTATATTCACCAAAAACCTTAGGATTTGGGAGGATGATTGGCGAATAATTGACGGTCGGGATGTTAGGGTTTTTGAAGAGAAAGTGTCGGTAAATGCAATAGTAGTGAGGGAGTTGATTTCCGGTGACTAGGGATGGGAAAAAAAAAGCCTGAAAACTGAACCAAACAGAAAATTCAGTTTTTCAAAAAATCGATTCGATTTCGGTTTGGAAAGATCCATAAACCGATTATTCTCTTCCTTTTTCATTTCCTCTTCTTCTCGGGTTCTCCGCCACTTTTCTCTTCCTTTTCATCTTCTTCTCCTCCATTTCTTCTTCTCCACTTTTCATCCGCCACTTTTCTCTTCCTTTTTCATCCTCTTCTCCTTCATTTCTTCTTCTACACTTTTTAGTTTTTACCCTTTTTTTGGTCTTTTTGATAGGGTACTTTCATAGAAAAATCTGATGTGTGCTCATTTGGTGTAGTGTTGTTTGAAATATTGTGTATTAGATCACCTGCACTTTGAGCGCTAGATAGGAAGCAAGCAAGTTTGGCTATTTGGCTATAATGATTTATTATGAGGTCTGTCATTCTGATTATCATATGGTCAAAAATGACAATGGATTTTCATCCTATCCTATTGTTCCTTCCTGGTTATGCTAAATTAATCCCTTCTCATATTTTCCTTCTAAAATCATTGCCCAATTTAATATATTAATTATTCTGCTATAAAATTACAAGCATGAGATAGTGGGAGACTGGGAGTGGTGACCCAAGTCGGAAGCAAGGTGAAAAAATATAAAATTGGTAAATAAATGACAAAACCGGTTAACCGGTGAACCTAACTGAATTTTTGGTTCGGTTTATAATCGGTTTAATTAAATAACCGGTTTGGTTTTGGTTCAAGTTTTTTTTAACTGAAAAATTGGTTCGGTTTAGAAATTGTCCTATCTGGTTCGGTTAACCAGATATTCCCACCCTTACTGGTGAGTAAATCGACTGAAAATTGAACAAAATGGCAGCGGCAACAATCGACTTTTACTGGCGATTAACGATGCTAACGGGGGTGGGGTGAGGTGAGTTTTGGTTGAGAGGAAGAGGGGAGTAATTTTTGGGTGATGGGGAGGGTTGTCGATGCCGGCGTCGATGAGGTCTGGCCTGAAATGCCGACGCTGGCGTCGATAAGATTTGGCCAAAATCGAACCTATTTCGGCTAGATCTTGGGTATATTTTAAGGGGAATGGGCTCAGGGGATGATTGGGGTTGCATCTGGGGTGTCGTCGTCGCCAACCAGTTGTCGGCCGATTTGTATTTGGGGTGTGTTTGCTAAATTTCAAACATATAGGGCTTTAAGGGTAGTTTTTAGGGGTGTATTTACCAAATTTTGAAAGTTTTTGTTAACCGGTTTAACCGCCGGTTAAACCGGTCAACTTGGGACCCGACAATTTTATCAGGTTTCACCCCGGGTTGGGTTTTAAAACATTGCATTAAACTATTGCAAATTGGCGTTTCCTGTTGCCGCGAGAGCATTGCTGGTGCATAAGTTTCAGTTAATTGAGGTAAAATTAAAAATGTGTTACACACTAAATATCACGTCCTTCTTTTGGTATTAGTCAAATAATTCCAACTAATGCACGTGTAATCCATCCATTTCAACTACTTGTTTCTTTTAATCAAGATCAATTGGAGATTTAAATTAAGCAAAGTAGGTCGGTTCCATTGGATTACGTACGCTAAAGCAATGTATATTTTTTCTCTTAATTACTAACATTAATTTAAGAAAAATCTCACATTAATCGTTTAGTTTAATTAGATATAGAAAGAGTTCATGGTCCCAAATAATATTTTGTGTTGGTATCACATTGTTACAGGATTCTTTTGGTTTTTTCCTACATGTGCTCAGGCTTATGGGAAAGGGAGAGATGAATCAAATATTTCTTCTTCATACTGTTTGATAATTGACTCCACCTTGGACTGGACTTGAGAAATTGCACTGAAATTTCCATCTAGAAAAAACTGGCATCTCATTATTTGTCAAAACAATCAGATTAGTTTAAACTTTAAACAGGTCTGACCCACACCCACTTTCAATGTTGGAGAAGGAAAGGCAAAGAGATGAGATGATTTCATTTGGTATTGGACTAAATACCAAAAGAAGCAAAGCTTTTTCACACTAACTCAATTATAATTTTATCTTTAATTACACATCACATCAATCATATCTAATCTATTCTTTAATATGATCCATAAAACACATTGCTTCGTATAGTCGTATGGAGTTGTTGAATCCAGGTCCATTTTGGAGGCTAATGTTTTTAATTAAGTTCTCTCATTAATAAACTTCCACCTGGCTTCATCCACGACAAGCATTCACTTCCTGATAAGTTTAATGAGCAGATATACACACAACATTTTGAGGATTATCTTTTCTTTTCGTTTTTTCATAATGGCCTGTAGAAATGAAGGTAAGTTTATGGATTCTGGCCCTAGTTTGTGGGCAGAAACCATTTGTAAAGAAACTAGCAAATTACATCTCCTAAGGTAAATCCGTCTAACCCGATAAGATCTAATATCACGCAAGTTAAATCAGTAAATCCATCATGCTAGGCGGAATCAGTCACCACTCAAGCCTTTGACCCAATGAGACCAAGCATCACTCGGACCGACACAATCATATCATGTCTAACGATATCTATCTCGTTTGGGCCTTCAACCCACTTGGGTCGGCAAATCAAATCTTATGTAGCGATATCTGCCTCGCTCAGGTCTTCGACCCACTTAGGCCTGCAAATGATCAATCATACGCATGCGTAGAATCAAATCAATATCATGAGGGGGATGGGTACTACGTAGGGTGGTTTGAAAATCACTAACAACTCATACATATTCTCAAAACATTTTTCTCATAAAATATAATAATTTCACATCATCTCATGTAACTTGAAAATATAATTGCAAGTTCTCAAATGTTTCAAATCTAACAATTTCAACCCATTTTCATTTCTTTTCAAACTATTGCCCAGAAGCATCAAAATTTCATCTTTCTCATGTCAATCAACAATTTCCAATAATAACATTGCAATAAAGCTCATTTCTGTAAGGAAATCAAACATTTTAGGCAATTTTAAAACAATAAACAAGTATGAATAAACATTTAGAGTAATTTTTATTAAAATGAAAGTTAGGGTTTTAGATTTTTTTTTTTTTTTTCCACTCACCATTTTGGAGCTCGACCCTTAAGCCGAAAAAGATTGAAATCCTCTAACAATGCCCCCGCTTGCCTACCCATATACAAAATCCAATAAATTCTCCATACATAAGTCCCCCTAACGTAACACCTCAATATTAAAATCATTGGACACTTCACACACCAAAAGATTAACCTAACTTCTTCTTGAACAAAACTGTCTCATAACCGAACATCGGTCGCTCTTGGATTTTTCATAAAAAATCCATTCATCAATTTAAGCCATAATTTTAATGGGGGATTCTAGAGACACATAAGTTGTTCCCATAATTTTCTCTAAGTCATTCTAGAATCAATAACTATTTAAAACACAATTTTCTTTCAACTCATTCAAATCTGCAACTGTTTCCAGAATTGAGGTTACTGACTTTTAAAATTCATAACAATTCAGCCCTTAATCTAAATCTCATGAAACTCTCCAGAATTATATTAGACATATATAGGATTCACCAGAATTTAAAATCATATAATTTGGATAAGAATAGATGCATCAAATCATTTTTCAAAATTACGTGTTCTGCAGGAAACGAAAATTCCAGAATTCACACGGCAACTTCAAAAATCCATATAAAATTCAATTCTTCGAGTTTTTGAGTGAAATAAATTTCTAAACAGTCCTCAAGAAGTCTACAACAACATATCCAAAATTCAGCTTAAAAAAACCCAAAACATACAAACAATTTTCGGAATTCCATACAGTGATCTTTTATATCAAAATCACATTTTTAACCAAAGTTTGTTTAGGAAACACATATGTGCTCAATCCACATAACATTATTGAACTCAATCTTCCCATTTTAGTGTAATCTCATGTCCTTACACTCAATTATAATCAACACAAACCTCATGAACTAAAACTCATCAAAGAGGGAAACAGCCATATATTTCACTGCAACATAAGACGCCAATTTACAGTACTTTAACGAGAAATGTGAAGGAAGAACTTTGAGGACAATTTCACCATATGTATTTTACAATTTATGGTTTTTTTTTTTTTTTTTTTTGGGTTTCAATAAAAAAAACAGAAGTCCCCAGTCCTCTTTGGTATCCTCCTGCCCAATACAATCTTCTCACGTACAATAACATTATATTTACATCAATGTAAACCAAACCTAAGCTGTTTGTACTTGGATGCTTATCTCTGAATTCATATGTGAGGATTCTGTGATTTCTTCCTCTTCTGCTAAATCGTCTGAATCCAATCCAGGTTGATTAAGGTTCCTAACAAACTGAGTAAATGAAGGGAAATGATCCGGTGAAAAGAATGAAGCTCCCATTCTCTGATACGTGAACAAGTTTACCACATTCTTCTCACCCAACAAATTTTTCTTTATCTGATCAAAACCAGCAGGAGCTTCTGAGATTGATGAGTTCTGCCCAGAAATCTCAACCCCGTAGTGTATGCAAGCTGCTTTGATTTGTCCAAGTAATAATTCGGGGCTTGAGGACTCATGATTCTGGCTATGATCTGAAAGATCCAATCCTGGCAATATCATTTTGCACGAATTCTTCATGAACATCTCAGCAACTGCTGCATAACCTTCTTTGTTGATTGTGTTATAGAACCCAGCTGTCAATTCAGAAGCATGGGACCGAGTTTTGTACCAGTAGTGCATGAGTGGGACTTTGCCATGAACATTCACTCCGTTATCCCTGAAAGCCGAAGAGGCTAGGGAGAGAAGGCGATCCCCATGAGATATCAACTGGCTTGAGTACCAGGAAAGGAAGAAGTCGCCATAAGGAGACTCCCAAGATCCGCCATGATCCTTGAAGAAAGTGTTTACGTTAGGTGATTGATCATGATTGGGCACATCATGAGGACCACCAAGTCCCCATAAAGGATTTCCAGTTGCTTCAGCATGTTGTTTAAGAAGTCTAAGCATGTTCTCATCGTAACAAAGGAACTCTCCAACTCCTGGGGTTTTGCTTTTGCCTTGATGAGATGGATATCGAAGCTCACCATCTGGTCCTAGACCCATTGAGATGCCCTGCAATGTACCAAGATTCAACGCCAATTATCATCAGTATCCTGTAAAAGATTCAAGACTCTGGTTGCTTGTACTAAGAAGAAATTGAAACCAAGCTTCATACCGTGATTGTGGAACCCATGAAAGGCATGAATGCAGACTTAAAGCTCTCACAAAATTCTTGGTAAACTTGAACTGGAGTCTTCCCATCAAGAACTGGAAGATCATCGATAGCCAGTGACAGGCAGTCTTTATAATGCTGTCCTGTCCGATCTTTATAAAAGATGCTAGGTTGGGATTCACTAATCTTGGATACCCACTCTGGAAGTGGAATTTTCGGCTGCTTGGAAGCATGGAAACAGAGTGAAACATGAAGCTTCAGAGCGGCTTTCTGAACCATCTCGGCGACAGAAAGGTAGCTTGACCATTCATACTTCCCCCTGGCTTCCTTTTCCACTACTCCCCACCACAGCGGTAGCTCAACACCCTCCACTCCCAAGAGTTTCAAAGCTTTTAGCCCAGCCGCTATCGCTCTCTCATGGTTCACTCCGTTGCAGCTAGAAACAGTATCCAACGGCAGCCCAACGAACAATTTTACACCATCAGACTGGAGGATAAATACACCAAGTTAAAATCCGCTAACTCATAAAAGAACTCTCAGTTAACTCAACAATTATTTCAGTTTCCTTGTCAAGTGAAATATGAAATATATAATTTTCAGAATTTATGCTTGATCCACCTCGATACTAACTGAAATTGGCTTATTGTGTACAAAGATTGAAAACTCATTCCACAATTTACAACTTTTTTGTAAAATCTGGACACAACCCAGCTCAAGGAACTGCTTAATAAACAAGTTTAGCATATCTAACATTAAAAAAACATACAAATTTTCACTAAAACAAATAAATTTACTTAATTTCGAAACAAAAAATGAAATTTCAAAGGAAAACATACCGATTTGCTTTTAGTAGCAGAAAGACGATCGGATCGGACAAGGGGTTGAGAATGAACAGCTTTTGAAGTAAATCGAAGCTGAGCTTTTCTCCACCTCGAACCTTGACCCACCAAACAAACACCACTGTTTCTCCTAGAAAATATTAACTTATCATTTTTGGGAACACAACAGAACCTCAACTTTCTGTAGGCTAATTCTGTCCTGACCATATTTCCCTGAGAATTACCCATCACAGACACCTCCATGGTCGGAAAATATTTGATTTTTTATTAAAAAAAAAAAATCTTAAATAATTCCCAGGAAAATATTTCCCAATAACCAGATAAAAAGAAGCCGAACCGCTTCACATAAGAAAAGAGAAACAGAAATAGAATGAAAGGCAGATCGCACCAATGAGGAGATTATTATTATTGAGGAACGAAGGAGACGATTCCTCGTTTATATAGAAACTTGGGAACGGGATTTCATGTGTACACGTNGAATAATGCAAATTTCCTTAATTCCTTCCTAACAACTGACAGTCGTATTCGGATCCAGCAGATAAAAGAATTTTATTTATTTACATTTAAAATATAAAAATTTATTATCATGAAAATTAATAAATATTATAGTTAATTATTATATTTTTATATCATTTAATATGCATGATATTGAAAAGTATTATAATATAAATAAAGACAAGTTGGAAAACACTTCTTATAACTTTCTCTCACAAACACGATGTGATTGCTCGCGTTTGATCAGACGAGACTCATTACTAGGCAAATAAAACCTATTACAAACTGACTAATTGCAAGCTGACACCGTCTTTGTGAGAAAAAATCAGGTTATGCGATTATGCAAAAGAACCTAATTTTCCTATAATCATAAATATTTGGATAAAGTTGAGCCCCTAAATTTCGAATCAACCCTCAGATTTTTCTCTTTTTAACAAAAATGAGAAACAAAGGCAATTTTCCCACGTCTCCGTTCACTTTAGGGTCCCGAAGAATTAGTTGAGGTACGCTCAAATTAACCTGAACACTCCCGATCACCCAAAAAAAAAATTAAAAAAAGCACTTTTCCCATAAAGCATTCGGCCTGGTATTCTTGTAGAAATCACCCCAATGCCAATGAATTTTAAAGAGGTTAGGGTAGCCACCAATGAAACCTAAAGCACATTTCTTCCCTTTCTATTATAAACCAACTTCTCATAGAAATTGTATCAGGACTCAAGACAAGCAAGAATACCAGAATCAGGGTTGACAATAATATCACTATTTTTACTCAGCATCATCTTTTAGCCAAGAGCCTTTGATATATCAAATTATGAATTTACAGGGTTTTGAACAAAGGAAAGTTTTCCATAAATTCGCAAGTAATAAAATCTTTAATACCCGAAGAGAACAAAAATAGTTGCAACATTCAGCTCCTTATCTTTGTACATGGGATCCCTGTAATTCATAAGGACCATGTGCTGCTGCTCCAGATACGTATTGAGGAGCAAGATCAGCTCCACCTTGAACCTGAAAATAAAACTTCAACATTAATAATTGGTTTGACAGACCGTCTATTGTCTGGAACTTGTGGGGAATAAGATTACAAGGAGTTCTACGATATAAGACTTTTGAAGTGTTTTAGTATTTAGAACACAAAAACATTTTATATGAGATATATTTAAGAGTTTCAGTAAATAAGTGTGTAACAGTGATTAACACTTGTTAGAGAATGAAAAAGGGCAATCAGGAATGAAGCAGCAGAATGATTCACTAACTATACTAGCAGTGCCTCATTGATCAACTTGATAAGAATCTTACTCGAGACCTAAGAAATTTTTATGAAATACAAAACATGTATTCGATAAGAAACCAAAAAATAGAATTAATAGAACTATGATAAGGTCAGTAGTAGTTCTCATAAGAGTTTTGAAGTATAAACCAAATTCTGAGTAAAATTGTTAATCCTTGTAAACCCCTTTCCTGGAGCAGCTGATGCAAAATTGTTTTCATATTGAAAAAGATTTTTAACTATATGTATGTGTTCATCTGGAGAACTTTCAACAAATTAAAGAAAAATCTACTATCCCATCCTGAAAAGGGAAAAAAAAAAGGGTAAGAACTGGAAACATATAACAGGGCAAGAGATACATGTGTCATCCGATCAAAAGTCACTTTGTTTACTACTTAAGCTAATTTATTATTTATTTCAGCTATAAACATCACTTTAGGAGATCAGCATAAAGAACACAGAGCAGAATCAACCACTCAGCTATAATATTAACAAGATAAGCACATTTAACCCAATACCAAATTACACAAAATATTTATTTTAACAGCATTATTGGATCTTATTGATACTGATCAAGGTGATGCTAATGGAATATGCGCCAAAGGTCAATTGAGTTAATCTAATTATTGGTCATATCTACGCCAAACAACCAACATCATTATTGATTAGGAGTGACAGAAATTAAACAAGAACATATCTCCATGCACATACCTGATGCAAGCTGTAAGGATCTGCATATAGACTTCCTCCATATACATGATTGCCATAGTTTGCAGCATAGGCCGCACCTGAATGCACAACCGCAAAGGTCAATACTACATTTAATCAAACTCACATTTTTTAGCATCAAATTATCATTACTTGAGAAATGATAACAAGAAAGATTACTTGGGTTTGCTGCTCCGGCTGCTGCAGCAGCCGCCCTTGCTCTCTTCTCTGCATTGGGTATCTCCGCCCGTAGTCTTTCAATTTGACGAGCCACAGAAATCATATTTTTCTCCATTATCTGACTTTGCTCAAGATTACTAGCATGATTCTTCTTCTCATATTCAATAGCAGCCCTGTTCAGACATAAACAGAGCAAATCATGAATTTCCTAAGACCTTTATACATCATCAACATATTATAAGTTTTATCTCTTTTTCTTACTCAATATATCCATGACGGAAATTTCCATCCTTCATGATGACGAATCTTTATAGCAGAGCACTAATGCAGCAGATAATTTAACAGTTAAATTAATTATAATTCCTAAAATCAAAAAGAAAAAAATTGTTCAGAAATTGAGAAAACAATTACAATACCTTCCCCGTTGAATTTCTCGACGAAAGCTCTCAATCTCGGCCTTAATCACAGTTAAATCCTTTGACTCTGCCCTCGCTTTTGCCAATTCATCGTTAATCTCGTCGAACTGTTTCGTCAACTCCTGCTTGACCACACTAAGCTCCTCTACATCCGCCCGCACCCCATCCAGCTCCGCATTCATCGCGTCAATTACACGCACCTCGGCGTCCAACTTCAACGACTTCTCGTAAACCTCACGCACGTCGGCGTCTCTCTCGGCTTTTACATTGGCGGCAGTAGAAGATAAGTGGCGGAGCTCTTGTTCTGCGAGGGAGAGCTCTTGTTTGAGAGCCACGTGTGTGGCGGCCAGCCGTCGATTATCTTGAAGAAGGGATTGGATCTCGCTCTGCTGAATGGCGATGCGGTCTTCAAGGTGATGCAGAGAAGGGAGATGTTGACGACTGGGTAACGGTAGTTCCCGGAGTTTTATTGCGTTTGGTGGAGGGATGACGTGTCGTCTGGCCATGGCTCAGGTCTGTTATTGTTAGTCTTCACTCTCCCCCGTTTAATCTCTCTCTAATTCTCTGAATGTAATTGCTTGTGTCGCGGCAGGTTGGGACCTCAAGGTGGGAAATTGTAAAGAGATCAACATGTTATTCTTAGGTTTAGAGATTTTTTTTATTCCTTGCGTAGGATTATTATTCAAACGATATGTTTAGCTATTTTTAAACGGAGTAAATAACTTTTCCCACCCAAGGTTTGCCTTAATGACCTTTCCCACTCAAAAGGTTTCAATATACCACTTTCCTACCCAAAGATTATATAATGTTAATACCTAAAATACACTTCACTTTCTCAGTTGGTGTTTGACAAGTTAATAGTAGTCAAGGTAAGAGAGGTTTTGGAGAGTGAAGGCTATTAGATCAAATAGTAGTGACCAATTAAATATTCATCGCCAAAATCAACTAAGAATTAAAAACCTTGGCTCCTTTTGGTTCACAATTTTGTGTTTTTGGGAAAAGTTTTTTGAAAAAAGTTAAAAAAAAGTTGAATTGGGCGGGTATTACGATGTAGGATTTACAAATTATAAAATACCCCATATGTTTGTTTATTTACAAAATACCCCTTATAATAAAATATTAAGAGTTAACAAAAATACCCCCAACCCACCCTCAAATACTGACAGCCGGCCACCACTCCCGGAGGGTGGCCGGAGTCGTCGTATCGACACATGACCGACTGGATCTTGCTGATCGTGCACCGATATGGCCTTTTTCGGCCAGATCCACTGTGGATCTGGCTGGCAAAGGGCAGATCTACGGCCAGATCTGGCCGTATTTGCTCGTCAACGACTGCTAACAAACGGTCGTCGTTGATGGTCAATGACGATCGTTTGTTGGCCGTCATTACCGACTGTTACGGCCAAAGATCTGGCCGTTGGCCTTAGATCTGGCCTTTTCTCTGGCCGGAAAAGGCTAGATAGGTGTACTACCGGCCAGATTCAGCCAGTAGTGCGCCATCCTACCAGATTCTGGCCATTTGCTGACAGTGGTGGCCAGAATCTGGTAAATGTGGATTATTGGGGTGTTTTTGTAATTTTTTAAAAAATATTTAGGGGTATTTAATTAAATTAACAAATTTAAGGGGTTTAAAAAAAGTTGAATTATATTGAGAGTAGTATTCCCAAAAACTCTGGTTTTTGGGTATTTTACTGTTTAACTTTTTTGGGAATACTAAAAGTAGTATTTCCAAAATACAACCAAACAAAGCCCTTAACTTTGCGATTACCGGCAATTGACGAAAAACCAGGTGCCAAAGTGAGAGATGTTTTGTACAGAGAATATCAGAGGTTCAAATGATGATGACATGTAGAACTTTTGATGCCGGAATCAGATGTGGGTAGTAACGGAATGTTAACTTTAGGTGGAAAAGTGGTATTTTGAAACCTTTTGGTGGGAAAGTGTCATTAAGGAAAACCTTGGGTTGGAAAAAAGTTGTTTACTCTTTTAAATGACATGTCGTTTATCACTTTTTTTTCTTACGACAATCATCATAATTTAATCCCGGATGCTGAACCTGCCATTATTATGTCCTTAATTTCTGATTCTCCTTCTTTAATAGTCTGTTTTCGAATCTCCTTTCTCTAATCTTCCGTGATAAAGACTCTTATTGAACTCACTCTTTCTATAATGTCATTCGATCTGTTTGGATCTGTTTGATTATGTTGATGCATGATTTTGACACCAACCAAACACATATGTGAAATGCTGAGCTGGCCCAGAAGACACAAGTGGATGAATGAATGAGAGTAAAAGCAATGGAGAACAGTGTTTAAAGTGGTTCAGATGCTAAGGAAGCAAATCCTACGTCCATTGATTTTGCATTAATAATAGTAGACTTACAAATGATTACACGAGAGAGAAAATGCTATTTTCTTTAAAGAGATTAGCTAATCTCCCAAATGAGAGAGGAGCTCTCAATTTATAGTGGGATGAATTAAGGTTATGATTACTAAATTTGTGGGTTGGTGGGATTATCCGTGCAAATCCTTCTTTATGTCTCATTGCCCACCTTTTAGAGTGATTTACGCATTTTGGTGCAGGGATTAGACACGTGGAATCGCTATAGCCCCTGGCCAGTCTGACGCGCACCCATTGCCCTGACAGGAGCGTGCCGTCCCTGTCATCGCATGACGTGGCTGCCTCTGACTGGCTGCGGGCCTACCTAAGCTCTGACTTTTCATGCTGACTGGATCTTGCGTCAGTCCTACTTTTTCAGGTATAACAGATTATTAGTTCTGTTGTGCCTAAAAAATCACACTGATGTCAGCACCAACCAATCAGAGTTCAGGAAGGTTTTGTGTCATCCAGGAGCTGTCACATCGCCCCAAGACAGAAATAATACGGTTATCACCAACCTAACAGATTCAAGTTTTGTCTATGAGTGGATGAGAATCGCACAAGTGTCCCAACTTTATCAAAATAAAAAGATAATGATTAAGAAGTGGTCCTCACGTGTCATGACAACTTGCAGAAACACTCATTACGTTGACCTAAAAGGTGTATAAATGAACACTTCTCTTCACAAAAAAGGGAGGTTGGGCATATGAGAGCTTTATTATTTCTCTCTGTAAAGCAAAATATTTCTTCATCTTTGTATGTCTTACGGACAATATCATAAAAATAGTTAGAGAATAATAAAATAACAGTGGATGTAAGATTTGGTTTAAGCATCCAAACCATTATAAAAACCTTTATTGTCAGTCTATTATTTATGTTTCTACAACATATATAATCTCAGTATTATATTCAAATCTCATAGACTGATCACGTATAATTTTTAAGACTCTCTTAATATTTTATACGTATAAGTCATTGATATCCAAAATTAAGCATCAACAGGTTCAGGTGCGAGCCGTCGAGTACTTGAAAAAGAGAACTGTTGAAGGAGCTATATTCATAATGAAATTAAGAGGAGAAAATGTAGTCATGAAGTGTGGCATGAATTGCCACGGAAGTCTACTTGACTGGATACGTCCAAAAGAAAGAAACAGTTCATGTGACAGAGATAAACGAGACTCTGATGTTGAAAATTGTAAGAGGTTTGTATCTTATCGTAATGACACCTTTTGGAAGGATTACAAAGCAGATCACTGTGTCATGGATTCTGACTTCTCTTCTTTATCTCTCGATTCGTCATTCATCTTTATCTTCTTCCTCACATATCTCAGTTTATCACCAACCAATTCCCTTTCTCAATTATATATAAAAATGTTATATCTAAAAAATCATGATGATGTCAATTATTTTCAATTATATATAAAAATGTCAGTTCTACCTAAGCGACAAAGTGTATTAACTGTCAAGTTTATATCGTCTCAAAGATATTTAAATCAATCATATCTCATTTTAAGAGATAGACGGATAAGAGCTTTCCATGTGTTAACAACTTGAAAAACACTCATTACGTTGACCTCAAAGGGTTTAAATGAGCACCTCTCTTCATGAAAATGAGAGGCTGGACAGAAAAGAGCTGGGCATAGATTTAAGTTTTATTTCATTGTTTTTTCTCTGTAAACAAAGTTTTTCTCAATTCTTTGTACGCCTTACAAGCAATATTATGGCAATAGTCAGAGAATAATAAAATCACAGTGGATATAGGATTCGCTTTTGAGCATCCAAACTACTATAAAAACTCCTCTTGTCAATATTTTATTTATGTTTTAACATCATATTCAAATCTCTTGAATTCATCGTGTGTGGTTTCTAAATTCGCTTAACATGCATTTCACACGTGCGAGTCGTTGTGTCAAAATAAGCATCAACAAAAAAGAACACAATAATTATGTAGAATGCTTTGAACCAAAACAACAACAAATTCAAGTTTATTGATTATTGAAATACGTTTGCCACCATGCGATGGGCATATACAGTAAACTCACTGAGTTACAAAAAAGAAAACATCCACAGAAGAGATGATCTATATATAAAGTGACATAAATTACTGTAACCTACCTTCATCAAACTTCCATGGCACCCATTCACACTCCAAGAAAATCCATCCATCTAAACTGCATGTAAAGGCATCACACCTATGCAATGTTTGGCCTTCCAGCAGGTGACTGAAAACAATTGAAAGAATAACAAATGTATCTTCTTTTTATGTTGAACTTTCAATCTTCAATCCAAGACTGGCCCAGAATGGCCAATTTACTTAAGATGATTGAATGCCAAAGTTGACCAGATTTGCAGGGCCTAAGGAAAGGAAAATTAATTTATTGGATGGACATTGAATTTTTAATATTTTTTTATGATAAACCCTGAAAAAGATTTATGTAAATACATACCTAGAGGTCTTTGAGATACAAAAAAGCATGCTGCAATAACTATATAGCAGAGCAGAAGAACCAATCCTTTCAAGTAATGAGAGCTCCCATCCTAATAAATTAAAGATATCATTATGATTTAACTATGAATAAATGTATGGTTGTAAAATCAAATTGAGAAGTTTGAATTATATATACCTGTAAAGTGAAAGCTGTGGCGATAATTGATAGAGCAAGAGCACCAGTCTCAAGGAGATTAAAGTTAAGATCCATCTTAATCCCCATCATCCAAGCAACAACCACACACAATGGAACCTGATCGAGTCATAATGGGAATTGTTTAGATTCTTCGAAATTTTCAGTAAAAATGATTGAACTTATGTATGTATATATATTTTGAAAAACTTACCACAAACAAAGCAATCTGAGTTGCAGAACCCAAAGCAACACCTAAGGTTATATCCTGCATTTGGGCACAGAATTGTTATATTTAGCCAAATCAAGTTTTGATGAAGAAGGAGATGAAAATCAAAGGCTGTAATGTTACTCACCAACTTGTTTTTAAAGGCAAATATGACGGCTCCAGCATGCTCAGCTGCATTTCCAACGATTGGTAGCAAGATGATGCTAATGAAGCTGACAGAAATTCCCCAAGATTCTGAAGCATCCTGTAAACAATAGGACAACACAATATCTAGTTAATTTTACTCTGAATTGACAATTTTCCAGCGTGTTAAAGGTCAATTATGTTTTAGAATATGTTTCAGGAAAATGTAATAAATTAAAAAAGAATGGAAATATCTAATATTTTCAAATAAAGAGTTTAGTTTACCTCAATGGTGCCCACAACGTATTCGGACAATAGAGCAATGACAGCAGTCATCCCAACCAGCCAGGCAAATCCACTCCAAAACCCTATCACAGGCACTTCTTCTGCTCTCACATCGTCATCAACTTCCGAGTCCTGATCGATTTTTATGATCAATGGCTTAATTAATTACCACCCAAGTAAAATTCCAAATGAAATTATTTATGAAACAAGACTTTTTCCATATAGTCTAGTTAATACAACCCTTCCAAGAATTTACCTCCTCAGCTTCAAACAATTGTCTGTGTGTCCACAATTGGAAAATAATGTAGACAAGATACGCAATCAACATTACAATACTGGCGGCTCTCGACAACTGCAGTGTTGGGTCCGCCGTGAGAGCGGCTGAGGCACCGGCATATCTGAACAAAAGCGGTAGCATGTGGCACAACAATGCCAGCAATAGCAGTAGAGTGTTCACATCAGCTTGTCTCTGTTGAATAAAGCAAAAGAGGTATAATAAGAATTTTATTAATTTCCTTTTGCGGGCATTTTAAGAAGATTTATAAGATGAGCAGGGACGGAGCCACCACTAAGTGTGAGTAGGGGTGTGAAAAAAAACTGTTAACCGAACAGAACTGATCCCAAATTTTCGGGTATCGGTTTCGGGTATTTATTATATGATACCAGAATTTTTCGGTTCGGGTATTGGGTATTTGTTTTCAGAGAACCGGGTACTCAGTTTATTAAGAAATAAAAAACCTAGTTTTTAAACTTATTTTTCTTTAACTTTCAAAGAGCAAGAGGCAAAAGCCCCCAATCTTAAGTATTTAAGGTATTAAATTAAAAGTTGATTTAATATATGGAAGGAATTGTATTTACAAATTGAAATTTGAAATCTAAAAAATAAAAATTCATGCAAAGTTATGCAAATTCGGGTCATAAACTGGGTATCCGGTATTTGAACCAAATATTCGGGTACTCGAAAAACCGAGTACCCTTAAAAGCAGTTGTACTCGAATATTCGGGTACCCAATTTTTCAAGCAAAACCGGTTCGGGTACTTAGTTTTGCACAGCCCTATAAATTTGAGTGGGGGGCTCATGCAGTCATGCCTCCAATGACCTTGTAAAATTTCTTATGTATTTGTAATAAAACAATCACTGCATTTTACAATATCACTATTAATTTTTTTTTTTCTATTTAAAATAGAAATATTAATTGATACTTCAAGGTTATATATGATTAATTTTTCGTACTTTTTTAAATTTAATTTTTTATCTTTTAATTTGCCCCCACTGAACCAAAAGTGTGGCTCCATCACTGACGATGAGACTTACCCTATCATATTTTTGTTCCTTTTTGAGGTTGGCAATGCCTCCACAGAAGAGAGAGGTACCAAGAACCAGGAGGAGGTTCGAAAGAATGGAACCCAAAAGAGAATACTTCACCACATCTATTTTATGTTCAGCTAGAGCAAGGATTGCTATGATGAGCTCCGTAGCATTCCCACAAGTTGCATTAAGGAGTCCTCCCACTGTAAAGTAAAACCCGAAAAGATAATCACATATTAATGAAGACAGTTAAGTGGAAGAGCACAATTCTAAGTTTCGGTTCGTGAATTTAAAGTGCTTTCTCCTTTTGATAAGATTGTTTAAGAATTGATCAGATTCGGATGGTGATATGCAACAAACTCTTTGGAGAAGAAGTTAGGAGAAAAGTTGAAAATGGTTTCGTCCTTTTTCTTTTTTTAAACCATATTGTCAGATATTGGAATCGATACCTGCATCTGCATTCAATCATTCACTTTAAAATTATATTTTTTTAATACTGGTTTAGACCCACCAGTACCGAATTGGCATCTGAAAACCAATTAACAAAGACAAACTGTGAAGGTATTCTGAAGATTAAAACAAGGATTAGGGTCAACTGTGCCGTTTATTCTTTGTCGATTCTCTCTATAATCTTCGATATCCATTGAACATCCTATATAAATACGGATTTGTTTACAGTTTGTCTTTGTCAATTGGTTTTCAGATGCCTACCAATTTGGCATCAAAATAAAGGTATTTCGAATATTAAAAGAAGGATTAGGGCAAACTATGCCATTTATTCTTTGTCAGTTCTCTTTATAATCCCTTTTAGCAGAAGAAAATCTAATCAATAACTCCGGTACAGAAGGAAACAATTACCTGTTGGACCAGTGTAGTATGCAATTTGCCTACGCCAAAAAATAAATAAATAAATAAAAATTGAATGAAAAATGAATTAGTCCCCATTCTAAATACATAATAAGATGATCAGAAATTAACAGTTAACAAAAAAATAATTGATTTACTCTGTCAGAAAGCTAACACGTTCGGCTAAAGGAGTAAGTCCCAATAAGCTCAACCCGAAAACCCAGGGCTGTTTGCAGAAAATCATAAGAAAAATGTTATTCAAAGTTTCAAACCATGAAATGTAAATGGTACTGCAATTTTATAAGGTAACAGGCGTATAATGACATAAAATTCCTGTCTTTTTCTTTATTTTACGTTAAAAAGCAATTAAACAGTGAATTTATATATAAGGCATGCACTCACTCTTCCAAAGTTATACAGTGGGCGATAATGGCTAATGGTATAGCCGGAAAGAGAACTGAAAGTTTCGTCCCCAAAAAGACCTCTTGAAGATTAGCAAGCGATTGTCTAAGGAAATTACAAGGAACTTTGGATACAAGCGTGAGATCAGACTTCTTCCTCAACGAGAAGACGACTGTTGTGGGCAGTTCTGCCATGTCGATTCTCCTTCTCAACCCTTTGAGGTTGCCATTCTCCAAGAGCCATTGTTCCTGTGAAGCCATTGTTGTTCGAAACAAAACTTGAATAGCTATCACTATCAATAGAAATTCAGTAATAACGAAGGAGAAAGTTGTAATCTTCTATCTGTGTGTGAAATTAGAGTGGATTGAACTGTATAAATAGCCATAGGAGTTCATTTTGTAACGCCTATGACTATAGGCATCTTCCTGGAAGTTTCATTTTTTCGGTTTATGTCAGTAGGCAGCCACGTGGCTAACATCAAGTATTTTTATATTTTTCAGATCATTATTGTAAGAGGAATGTTTGGGAATTTTTTAAAAATAAAATAAAATCCTGAATAGATTGAAAATACTACCAGCAATTTAAGGTAAAATTATAAATCAAATTGTTTTATTTCCTTAAATCAAAAGTCCATGCATGAATTGATTTCCTTTTATCGAATTTGTTAACCAAAAATAGATTTTATTGTGTAATTTTCTTTGAATTATTTTAGTCAACAACTGTTGATTTATTGCGTGAAAAGATATTTGACTGCTCCTCCCCTCGTCATATATGGAATGAAAGTGATTTTTTTTTTTTTTTTAAAGATGATTCTGTACAATTCACATAAATAAGAAGTGAAGAGTAAAAATAATAAATTATTTCCTCCAGCAGTAAAAGATTTTCAGAACTCTTATATAATACGTCCAAATGGACGGAGTAAGTTGTTCAGTCAATCGAAACAATGACTGGAGCTAGGTTTGTCGACGTGAAAAGAATTATTTGATTAATATTAAATCCGGAAAGTTCGGTTTGGGGAAAAATCACTATAGTGTATATATATAATATTATAACTTTTTTATAATGATAATCTATATAAAAATAACTTTTATATAATCATAAAAAAAATTGGTCTCAATTTGGATCAGTTATAAATAAAAATAAATTTATCATTATAATAAATTATAATTTTTCTAGGTCCCGTTTTAAGGAATTTTTCTCTACATAATAATAATTATATGTATATTACAAATAATATATGTTATGTTACATTAAAGGTTTAAGATAAAAAAATGTATTTATATAAAGTTGTTTGGGAAAATGATTTATATTTTAGAGTTGTTATCACATATTTTATCTTGCAGGTATGTAATAAGTCATCAGCATGGACACTTTCTTGTTTAAGCCAAAATATTTCTAGTTTCTCAAACATGTTTAGAGCTTTTTAACACGAAACTTTTGGTATTTCCGTACTATCATCCTTAGGATTATCTTCTTACTTTTCTTGTTTAATTCCAGTAATGAATTATTCTTCAGTTAAAGTATACATGACTTATTGCTCATTTGGATGATTGATGAAGACAGATGATTGATGAAGATATTAATATCCATTTGATTATAGTGAAGTTGTCAAATCTGATCACTCAATTTTGCCATGACTATTTGATATCCATTTTCGTTACTATCCTAATGCTACTAAAACAATAAATTGAAATCATAATACTACTAAAACATTAATTATAAAATAAGAAATCAAAACAATAATTTTTGTAATTACACATCTATTAAGTTATAACCTCCTCATAATAATAAATTTAGTTAGTCCCAATATTATAACTATAGAGATGTTCTACTGTATATAACTTAGGTCCAAACCCTAGTGGCATTATCGTTGTTCTGATACCATGACAAGGTAGGTTAAGTCCAAACCCGATGATATCATCATCACTCTAATATCATGATAAGGTGGGTTGGGTCCACATAATCGTCACTCTAATACCATGATGTGGGTTTGCAACTCAGTAGCTTTTGAGAGAGAGTCCAATCACATATATCATAATAAAATTGCTTTGGATAAAACTCATTATCTCGTAAAAGAGGATGTCCAATCACATATATATACACTATAACAATCCACCAACCCATTGACTCGGTGCCGCAAGACAAATACTAATTCTACCACTGATTACTAAAATTTATTCGTATAAATGATATAATTAAACAAAAAAGAACATAAATTTCGGTTTGTGAATTTATGAATCATTGAATGGAATGAGTGGGAGCAAAATCTCAGTTTCTGAACGCATTAATGAACGTGTAGTCAAAAACTTTAATTACAGACCAATATTCCCGTCAAGATATATAAAATTGAAAGAAGAAAAAACAACAAAACTTGAAACTAATCATAGACTTGTCGTGTCTCGGTGTCGGTAAGCTGATTTTGGTCTGATGTTTATCGAATGAAATAATTGTAGCCAACCAGGGAAATCCACCCATTAAATTGATGAAGCTTAAGCCGTGACAAAGTATTACACTCCAAACCTGCAAATGGAGAAAGCAACACCCTGAAAGAAGACCATGAAAATAACATTTACCAGTTAGAGAAAAATCATTAGAACCATATATTTTGTTTTCATTGACTTGCCGTTCCGTGAGCTACTTCTACTCTTTAATTAACTGTTTGTTCACCATCAAAATACCTAGAAAAGAGACGTACATCTAACCGTACCAGCACACAGGAACTTTCCATGAAGCTTCTCTTAATGAGGAACAGGAACAAACAAAAACAAAAAAACTTAATATCTTCATTAAGATTTGTTGATGTCAATCTGTTGTCTTAACTACTACAATCTGTGCGTTGTCAAAAGTTAACTTGGTTAGTATCTAGACAGAGTCATGTGAACCTAAGCATCGAGTAGATATACGATATAATAGATCAATCAAACACAGTAAATAAAGTTGAGATTTTTCAACAAAGTTTGACGTAGAACGTCTAACAGATGAATTCCTGGAGAGGATTGAGCGTCAAAAGCTCAAATATACAACTCAAAAGTCTTAAATGAGTATGTCAACTTAAAACAGATATAACTTTTGATTAGAGAGGAGTTATAGGGCTTATAAGATATTAATGGAAAACTCGTTTCAAGCTTGACGTCGTGACCAACTGGGTGGGTGTCCTAGTTGGGGGTCGTTTTCAAGACGAAAATCCATTGTTTTGCCGGGTTTTAAGGCCGTTTAAGTTTTCTTCGTGTTTCCTCTATTTTATTTATAGTTCTTTCTTATTTTATAATTAGTCAACAGTGATGATTTCTTATTTTAATCAATCTTTTCATGCTTAATTAGGATTTTATTTCCTTGTTTAATTGAGAGTTTTGTTAGAGTTGGTTGTCACCACCCTATATAAACATATTATTCATTTCTTTGAAATTATGCAATGATTTTTAAGATTTTCCTTCAAACTTTACAAATTAAGTTTATGTGATTGAGACTTATTCATCAAGCCTAGAGGCATAGTTGTGTACTAACCTTATTTTTACGCTAACTCGCTGCATCAACTTTTCTCTTTTATTCCTCCACTTATACTCCTAATTAATCATCAGTCACTATTTCTCACTTAACATCAACAAAATTACAAATCGACCTCAAAGCTGAGTCTCCAGCCAACAATATTATATTGATTAATGTAAATGAAAATGACAAACTGTGTGTAGCCAGCCAGCCATTTCTGTTGTTGTGACAGAGCCACACACAGAGGCATAGATTCTTCAAAGATAAGTACACTGTGTACAAACTATACGTGTAAGACTCCCAGTTAGACACTTGAGAAAAGAGTTGGATTTTGGTTTTGGACGTACCTAGGGTTTGCATTGAATTGTTAAAACAAGATACAACAGCTGCGTTTGGCCTTTTAGTTCGCAAAGTGTCAAATGGGGAAAGTGAAGAGAAGCTTCGCATTTACATTTTTAAACTTTTAGCAGCCAGAAAAGCCAATGTAACTGCAGTATATATATAGTTTTGCCAAACCAAAGCAGCAGTCAAATTTTTTGATGAAATATCTGCTACAAAGAGTTTATCTGTTTCACTTTCATGGGAATCCGAGGTCTGCTACAAAAAGATACAGTTTTGTCAGGTAGAAACGTTAATCACAAAAGACTACAGATTCAGGTAATTGTTCTTCAATATGTTTGTTTAGTTTTAAGTATATAGGATATAACACAATTACAGCATAGTTTTCATTATTAAACTTCTATAATCAAATATATAGAGTCTTTCCTTCTCTTTCATTTATAATTTTCATAATTTTAAAATGCGATCTAACATTTTCCATTCTATTTTTCTCTTGAAAAAGGGTGTCTGACACAACATCCCACAAGAGGATTCGAACATGAGACTGTGTGTTTCAAGCACACATCCCAAATCCTAACGCTCGTCCTATCACTTGAACTACGTAGTTTTTTTACTATTTGTTTTTGTCGAGAAACAAACGTCCACATTTTATAACATGAGGAGTATGGTTTAAGATTGTTTACTCCAATTTTTCGACTATTGAGTTTATTTGTTAATTGAGTATTTACTTCTGAGTAACATTTTCTTTTATATTCTCTCATTTTCTTTTCATCCAAACACTCATATTAAAATTAAATATATTTTGGTTTTCAATATTCAACCAAACCTAAAAGAAAACTTATCATGATTTGCTGTGAGACATTTTATTAATAAGAGGTAAAATAAATTTGGTAGACAAATACAAGTACGGCATTATCAATGTAGTCGGTCCAGATTGTCTAATGAACATCAAACTAACGGCTTAAATTTAAGGCAAAAAGAGAAACAGTAGTATGAGGTGTTGTCTTCAACAATATTAGCCAATCTTCAAGGGTCCTATAATGGCTTCACTCCAGTCCAGTCCAAAAATTGTTTCAGGTAGAGCAGCCACGGGCCACCTACGTACATCTCCATGTGTATTCTGAGCCCTCGACACCTTCCACGAAATTTCCCCTTTGCAAAACTACAATATATCCCATCCGTTTCATTCTGATTATCATCTCATCTCCTCAATTTACGACAAGACAATTTCATTTCAAGATTTTGTGTGATAGCTTCTAAATCCTCATCTCTATCACAAAATAAATTCTTAAAAATTAGTAGTTTGGATATGTACGTAGAAATTCATCGATTCACTTTGAATCACATTCATTTGTATGAAAGGGTTTGTACATTTACGTGTTTGTGAAGTTAGAGGCAACCTTAGAAGAAAGGCTCGGGAAATTTCCCGCCCTTTCATTTTCCAAATTTTAGACAAATCAATACGTCTGGACTTTACATACATCACATGATTAAACATATACATATGTAATTTGTATCCTATTAAAAACTTCTCTTAAACTATAAATCCTCAGATCATATAGAATGTGACATTGGATGTATGTTAAGCTAGATTAATTTATCTTGTTGTTGACACTACCATTAGAAAAGATCTTGTTAATGCTTGATTTTGACACCAACGACTCGTACATATAAAATGTTAAGATAGTCTTAGAAATTACACGTGATGGATTCATGAGATTTGAATATGATGCTGAGATTATATATATTTGTAGAAACATAAAGAATAGATAGACAATAGGGATTTTTATAGTGGTTCAGATGTTTAAAGCTCTTCATTCACTGTTATTTTATTATTCTCTGACTATTTCTATGATATTGTCTGTAAGGCGTACAAAGATAGAAAAATACTTTGTTTATAGAGAAAAATAAGCTTTCATGTATCTAACTCTCATATGTCCAGCCTCCTCTTTTACGAAGAGATGTGTCAATTTATACACCTTTTAAGATAAATGTAATAAGTGTTTTTACAAGTTGTCTTGACATATGGAGAGCTCTCATTCGTCCTTATCTTAAAATAAGATAAGGTTAGTATAAAATATCTTTGAGGCGGTATAGGTTTGACAACTAGTACATTTTATCTTTTAGGTACTTGTTGAGCTGACATCAGTCTGATTTTTTAGGCATAATAGATCTTTTGATGATTCTTGTGGTGAAAATTAAAATGTACATCAGCTGGGTTGGGTATGGCTATGAAGAAAGCTAAGGGTATGTGAAATTTCGAGGAATTTTCCTGGATGAGAAAATAAGCATGTAGAGCCATACTTGTTTGTTCGATTATGTGATACTGTTTGGTGGAGTACTATATACGTGTGTTTGTGTGTGTGTTTTGGATTTTCAGAATCAGTTTGCATATCATTATTGGCCGATCGATATTAGAGTCAGTATATAGTACGTTGTGTGTCAATTTCAGTGAACCCTGAGTGGTCCAAAATTTAGGACCACATATTCCATAAGTTGGTTGGTTGAACTTCAATATTATTGAAGTGGTACTTACGAAAGTTTCTACAATATCTCTTATCATGTATACTAAAAATTAAATGGGTTGTTATTAAATTTGCAATAACTGATAAAATTTGCAGTAACTCAATCTTGGTAGTTCAAGTGGTGGGATGTGTGACTAAAGCACACAGTCTCAAGTTTAAATTCTTTTCGCTTTCACAATTTAAACAATTGATCATGATAGTAACCTACAAAAATTAGTCGAGGTACGCATAAGATATCTCAAACATGGTTATTAGTATCCTATGATACGCGATATGTATTTTACGATATGATTCATATATATCCATTCTTATCCTTAAAAATATTGATACAAATATATAAGATTTTATTAATTTTGGCCGAAGGCCCCCCCAAAAAAATTCAAGTTGAATCCGGATCACCCAACCCAATTCACTAAAACTCGCCCAAATTTGCCTATTTTGAATGGAAAAAGTGAAGAGGAAGATGTGTTGGCCATTTTGCATGATAATAATAAAACAAGTGGAGATATAGCTATTGACATTGATCTTGGAAATGATATGAATGGTTGAAAGGAAATTATACAGATTCTTAATTTTGTGATTAATTTTGATTATGTAATACTCTAATTTAAAGCCAATAATATCACAAAAATCGTTAATTAATCTTGGGGATGATATTAATTTTTAAATTTTATTATTATTATTATTTTAAAAGTCGTATCTTCCAATACAATACACACACCATTTAAAAAATTAGGTTTTCGATACACGATATATGGTTTGACACGAGATATATATATATATATATATAGTGCATCCTTGCAAATAAGATTGTCCATTAATTTAGAATGAATATCTTATGATCATCATACGAATCATGTGCTTTTAAACTTGTTCCTCTGATACCATAACTGATAAACAATGAACTTATGAACCTGTGATGAAAATATGACAAAACTTGTTTATCTGTCAGTAATAATGACTATTGCCAAAAATATAGGCGAAGTAATTTCATCCATCGAGACGGAAAATAAAAGTCATTCAGGATTGCCTGGATATATAAAATGTTGAAAATTCAATTTTACAGAATTGCAGTCTTTAAAGTTTAAACCCATTTTACATACTACCCTCACGGCTCCATTATGAAGATACAAATTTCAGGACAAACTTCATCAGGGAAAGAATTAAAGGTAGTTCTAGACTTTCATCTAATCTTTGAAAACCCCTTTTTTTCTAACTGTTTATGAATTCCAGTAAACACACAACAGGGAGTTTCAGAAGCCAAAAAAGGAGTGCCATTGTTGGTTCTCAAACTCGAAATTGTTGATTCAGTCAGCGAGTCATAGATCCATAGCAGCTATCTTTCACAATCGAAAATCTGGTTCAACTGTCGTCTATATCAGCTCATGTCACAGTTGTCTATAGGTTTAATGCAATACACACGGGATCCCAAATGCTTCACTTCAAGACCAGCATTTTCGCAACCACTAAAGAAAAGTGACTCATCCTCCTTCCCAATTCTGCGTCTCCAGCTCATCAAAAATGCAGGATAGGGCAGCCCTGGCAATTTTACAGCAAGAAAGAGGTTATGAAGAAGTAGCGCAATGATCAATCAGTTTCTAATTTCTCGGAAATAAAATCAGAAAAAAGAAATAGTTAGCACGTTACCATCATTCTGCTCATTCTCCGTGAGAAGGTATGCTTTGTTAGTTTTTGGCTTGTAAGATTTGAGGAGAAAGGAAAGAGATTTTATCAAGTTTGGATACTGTTTTACATCTACAAGCAGCCATAAAAAAGAAAAACGTTGATGCATTTTCAGGAGAGAAATTACACAATGAAACTCAGGAATTCAAAAGAATAGTTTGAATCTGATGGGCACAGTACTATATTGATAAGAAAATCAGTTTAAGCTTTGTCCAGAGTACACATGATAGTTATGCAGAAGCAGAAAAAGTAAATACTTACACAATAAAATATCACTTGCTATAACAAGGTCCCAATCTGGGGTCACAATTGGAAAAGCCTCTCCCCACGAATCTGGAAACACAAGCATGTTCTAGATCAATATATTAAACCAAAAGTCAATAAATGATAACAAATGGAAATACAATTAACAATCTTTTCATTCATCATTGCAAGCCCAAAACAAGAATTGAAACTAAATCACTACTTGTCATCAAGCAAGATAAAAGCATAGAAACGGGCATTCTCCACTTCCAATTCCCAAACCATATGCATTAAATAGGAAGCCATTACCACATAGGAGAAAAAGAAACTCACGCTTTATATGAGGAAGGACAGGTTTAATTCCATTTGCCTTGCAGTTATGAGCAATGTTCTCTTCAATTTCCTGATCATCATAGTCAGACGTGGTGATGTCAAGATGAAATGCTTTTCTGAGAAAAATGGCCAAAGCTCCAGTGCCACTGCAATTGATTAAAACAATAAATACCAGCTGGTATGCACAAACTATAGAGTAGATCGCCCAGATATTAACGATGATCAAATATAAGATGTTCAACTGGAAGCAAGAAAAAACAATCGATAGAAGAATATTAAGCTTAAATAAAATTAATTCCCATTTTAAAATGCACAGAATGTCTCCACCAAAAACCATTTCCATAAGCTCAAATCTCCCAAAGGTTCAATCTCAGGAAACTAGGGCATTTCGTGGGACATTAAAACTAAACACTGATTGAGCTCACAAATTAATCTACTATAACATTCAACTAAAGCCGGAAATATACCTGCCCAATTCAATGCAGCGGCGTCCTTCTATCCATGACCTGTGTTGAACTAACCATTCCGCAAATGCAAATGTTCCTGGCCAGAGTAAATTAGCATTCAGTTCGTGAAAAGAAAACTCCCGAATAAGTAACTCCTGTACAAAACCCAAAACAATTAAAAGCTGAGAAACATGAGACTACACTGCACCTTAGAATACAAGCATTCATACCCTAGAACAAGATTCTTTATAAATCAACAAACTAAAAGACAATCAAACTAAACCCAAGCCTTCATTGAAATTAATTATATCAACTATAATAAAGTGCAAAAATTATTTAATCAAAGAAAAGTTCTGAAGCATTACCATTTCAGGGAACTGGTGGGTCCTCTCCACAAAGCTCTGACAAGTCTCTGTGGTTTCCTCATCTGCAAATTAAAAGTAACAGTAATAATTAATTTTCTCTTTGTTACAGGTTATGAGCAGACAGCAGAGTAATGAGAATTATAGTAAAGTTAATAAAGAAAAAGAGTACCAGCAGATGAGTCATCGTCTTCAGTAAAGAGCGAGGATGGTGAGAACAGAGCTATGTCCATTTTTCTCACCGTAAACCCGCCTTTTACTAACCTAACCATTAGAAGAGGCATCAAATGCGGGCGCAAGCGGGTAGGACGGGCCGGAAGTGGGCCTCTTTTTATGTTGCTAAGCCCATTTCGCCCATGTAGGTGAGGCCATTTTATAAACGGGCTACGATGGCTCCAGCAGACTATGATCGGGACCGGGCTATTGTTGGAGTAGCTAGTCAACGGGCCAGCGGACTGGGCCTATAGTTACTTTTAGCCCAAATACTTAATGGGCTCTGCTACACAAGCCTGAATGGCTAATTTTTAACGTAATATATAATTTTTAATTATTTTAATATTAATGTTATTTATCCTACTTTAGACACAGCTTTTGCTAATTTGATGATATATCCTAAATTACCATTGAGAAAAATTCAAAGTACTCAAAGGCGTAAGACTAAAGCGATCCAAAAAATCCAGGAAATATAATTTAACCCTTAAATAAATAATGAGTAACAACTAATAAGAATACAATGCCCTGTAACTTTAGTAGTTATAATAGCTTAATAATTCCGCCATTAGTCAGGCTAGGCCATACTACTTTAATTCATGCTTTTCAATAGACAAATTATTTTATATTAAGACAATTTAATAGTTTAGTAAGGCCACGTGGCGATTACGTAGCATAAAATCCACCGACCACCACTTTATCATACGTCTTTTTAATTGTTAATATCTTTTAAGAAAATTTTGATTCATTGGATCCGGACGCACTATAAGTTAGTATACAAATTTCGGTTAGGCTTAAATCTGCCTAAAAGCTAATAATGCCACCGTGGTCACATGGCATCCAATCCACCGACCAATTAACAATGAATTGATCAAGTGATAAAGACTTGGGACAAAGGGTTTGTTTCTCCCATAATTTTAGATATGAATCAAAAAAGTAGTTGTTAATATTATTGATTACGGATTAAAAAAATTATCTTATTTTAAAATCTTTGTCAAGGGTCGAGGAACTAGTTAAGGTATGCATAAACTAGTCCAAACACTTTCTCATAAAAAAAAAAAATTTATTAAATTAAAAAATTATTAAAATAGTGAAATTATGATTAGGTCAACATAATTTCACTATTTTACTTGTATTCAATCTTTTTTTAATTTAAAAAAAAAAATAAACCAAATTATTAAATTAAAAAATTTCTAAAAAGTTTTTTATATAAATTTTAAGACAGCCGGTCATGTGACGTTAGGGCATCTCCAACCCTTTGGTTTTGCTCCAACCCAACGCTAATTGCCACAGCATTGTAGCTCCACACCAATTTGGTGTGGTACTGTAGCACCATTATAATTTTTTTTCTTTTAAATTTTGTTAAGTTAATTTGATTATTAAATTTTACACTAAAAATCACATCAAATTGGATTATTATTCATATTAATATTTATAATAATAAATTCATGATAATAATATAATTCAAAAAATGATGAGAAATTAAAAACAAAACTTTATTCAATGCAAATATTAAACTACAATAACTCAAAATAAAAATCAATACTAATTTAAAAATACTAAAATTAAAAGAAAATACATCATAAACTAAAATAACGATTTAATATTCCGATAGATTAGTTTCGAATCCTGTAAAATCATCAAAATATTAAAAAGAACTAGAGTTATGGAATTTTACTATCAATATAAAATTTTATTTTTGTATTGTTTTTTTTTTTTTTTTTCGTTGTGCACAAATATGGCTTACTAAATGAATAATTTAAAAATACTAAAATTAAAAGAAAATACATCATAAACTAAAATAACGATTTAATATTCCGATAGATTAGTTTCGAATCCTGTAAAATCATCAAAATATTAAAAAGAACTAGAGTTATGGAATTTTACTATCAATATAAAATTTTATTTTTGTATTGTTTTTTTTTTTTTTTTTTTTTNAAAAAAAAAAAAAAAAAAGCTAGAAGACAATGCCCAAATAGGCGACAAAAACCAAAACAACCAACTCTCCTTGAACCGAAAATGGCAGAAAAACCACCTCCCCAAAGCATGAAAACCTCCCTATATTGTGGATGGTTAGTGCATCTTTACACTGCCCTCCAAACAACCGATTGTTTCTCTCCCTCCAAATCCAATAGATGGTGGCATTAAAACACAACTTCGCCAAAAAATGCGTTAGCTTATCCCTCTTCCAATTTAAGGATTAGCCATGAATATAAGCATTCCATGGCACCGCCCTATAACCCATAGAGCTAATGGCAAGGATGCGGCTCCAAATAGACTTGGAGAAAGGGCAAGAGAAAAAGAGATGATCCAAGGTTTCTCGGGCCGAATTACAAAAACAACAAAAAGAGTTTTGCGAAATACCGTATCTCTCAAGCTTATCCTTTGTAAACTTTTGAAGTAAGCTACTCTTGAACTTAATTCTTTCATTAAAATATATTTCATCTCCTATGTTTATCTTTAGGTTAAATTCCCTTATATTTTGTATGGTTGATTCTGATTTCTTTAGCATTTAGTTTGATTATGATTGTTTATAAATCAAAGGCTACTGATTTTTTTTTGAGTGTTGTGTAGGAATTTTCTTTGTGAACTTGAAGTAAGGATTACTCTCAACTTTGATTTGATTATTTCTTCAAATATATTTCATTTGCTCTTATATTTTGTGTGGTTGATTATTGATTTATAATTATTTATCAGTCAAAGACAACTTATATGTATAATATATTGTTTGGAAAATTATTGTATATTTGTGTGTCGTAGCTGTAGTGTATATTTATCACATGTTGTAGGTTTTTGATGGGACAAAGAATGTTGAGAAAACATCCCGAGGCGGTGGGGATGTTGAATTAGGTGGAAATGGTGTTGAGGAAACATCCCGAGACGATGGGGATGTTGAATTAGGTCGAAATGGTGTTGAGAAAACATCCCGCGAGGATGGGGATGTTGAAGTAGGTGGAAATGGTGTTAAGAAAGCATCCCAAGGCCCGGATGTTAAATTAGGTGAAAAAGGCAGTGGCACTCCTGCGGCAAACCATGGAAAATGTAGCCCTACACTCCTGGTAAGTTATAAAGATATAAGTTTCATTGTCTTAATTATAAGGATATTCATTATTAACTTAATAATTTCCTCGTTTTTTCCTTGTAGTTTTGGTTAAAATGGAGCTTTTATATCTTCAACTTTTTGTTGGTGCTTTTCGTGCTTGTACTGGATTTGATCTCCCCTGAGCATAACACCACTTATGATCTAGTGGGTGTGGTGGCATCTTTGTTCACATTGGTTTTTGGCATCATTGAAATTGTTTTGCGGGCTAAAAAGGAACAAGTAACATGGAGGAAAAACTGCAAGATTTATTGGTTTTATGATGGGAATGATATGCCTTTTGGTACTTCGGCAGACATAATTGGATTGGCTTGCAACTGCCTTGAGTTTATTATGGAGACAGTTACTCGTTTTGCTGAAGATAAAGTTAAAGATAAACCTATCTACGCAAAGTTCTTCCCCTTCATCTTCGCCTTTTTCCTGTTGGTCACTAAATGCTTGGAAGAGATTTGTGCAGACTAGAAGTTTGAAGGCAGTTATAATATTCAGGCAATGTTTGTGTTTCTTGTTTATCCAGTATTCCAGATTCAAGTTCTACAGTTCAAGTTCATAGAGTTAGGTTGCATTTGTTAATTTGACATTATATTGTTTAGTTTTTGTAACATCGTTCAGTCTTATTGATGTACACGTTTGGGATGTAATTAATTGTAACATTACTTGTGAAGTGTTTTGTTATTTATTTACTTATCTTTGAATTTGAGAGTAGTGATGGCAATGGGCCGGGCTGAGACTGGATACCCCTTGGTCTAAGTCCAAGCCCGATCTCATGACAAAGGTTCAAGCCCTGTTTGGACCCGTCACGTGTATGATAGGTAAAGTCTAAGCCTGATCCGATACGTTTTTTGTAACTTCAGGCTCGATCCAAGCTCACTTATTTTTATAATGTGAATTTTTAAATTTAAATTTTTAAAAAATTTTAATTCTAGAAACAATTTTTAAATATTAATTTATTTTTTAATACTCATCAAATATAAAAATAATTTTTTAGTTTTTACAAGTGCATTCATATATATGAGTATCTAGGATAATCTGATAATTAAATATATAATATAAGGGTAATTTAGCATTATTAATATTAAAATTGTCGAGTTAGGCCCAGCCTAAAGACATATTCAAGCCTGACCCGTGGTACGGGTCAGACTTTAAAATCAGATCCAAGTCCAAACCCAAGGTAACAAGAAAAAGTTTTTATATAAATTTAAGACAGCCGGTCATGTGACGTTAGGGCATCTCCAACCCTTTGGTTTTGCTCCAACCCAACGCTAATTGCCACAGCATTGTCTCCACACCAATTTGTGGTGTTCTGTAGCACCATTATAATTTTTTTTCTTTTAAATTTTGTTAAGTTAATTTGATTATTAAATTTTACACTAAAATCACATCAAATTGGTTATTTTCATATTAATATTATAATAATAAATTCATGATAATAATATAATTCAAAAATGATGAGAAATTAAAAACAAAACTTTATTCAATGCAAATATTAAACTACAATAACTCAAAATAAAAATCAATACTATTTAAAATACTAAAATTAAAAGAAATACATCATAACTAAAATACGATTTAATATCGATAGATTAGTTTCGAATCCTGTAAAATCATCAAAATATTAAAAAGAACTAGAGTTATGGAATTTTACTATCATATAAAATTTTATTTTTGTATTGTTTTTTTTTTTTTTTTTTTTTTTGGTATCATTTTATATTATATAATATTTTTCTATATTAATATAATATTTATTTAATTAAATAGTTTATTTTATTAATTAGTATAATATTTAAAGTAATTATTATTTAATAAAAATATTTTTTAATATTTAATTAATATATAAAAAAATAATAAATTAAAAATAAATTATTAATTATATAAAAAAATATTTTAAAGAATATTATTTTTAGTGTAATATTTAGTAGTGTTTTGACCGAAACTTC